ATATATATCTGGAGAATTTATATTGTCAATAAAGAAAATATATTGTCAAAACCGAGAACAAAGTAATGAAAAGATATAATCTATTTACATGATTTACTACAAGAGTAGTTCCTCTGGAAATCATATCACAACGTGGTATCGAGAATGAATTTTGAGCGATAACGCAAGCCAGTTTTTTTCTTGGAGTAACACACCAATATAAATGAATTTCTAGAAGAAAAAGGAATGGCTGAGCCTTTGTGGAGTAGAGGATTTCGTGACAGACTGATAAATTGATAACACTGCAAATGAAAGTGAATGTGAGCGACGCTTAACAGAAGTAAACCCTTAAACAATCATTTGTTAAGCTTTTGTTTGCTGATCCATTATCCCTTGACAGTGGTGCACTATCACAATCGTTCCATTCATTCCCATCTTTTTCTAACATTTAGATTTAGGCTTACGGAAAATCATTCCTTTTTGTACAAACAAAATGTGGAAACAATCACTTGATTTTTATAACAGTTAAATTAGAGATTTATTAATACATATCATCACAGGATTTCATAAAATTTTTCGAAATGAATTTTGCAAGATAATATTTACTGGTATCTTCGAGCACAAATGGTCGACCATAATCCTGTAAAATTTCATAACAAAATTATCCATACTAAAGTCATAAAATGATTTTTATTTACTTTCATGAACGAACTATAGCTATGTACAACTAGTGAGAGCAATTATGCATTAATAATGTTGCAGTAATGATTGCAATCAATGAAAGTTAGTATTTTTTCAAAAAAAAAAAAAAAAAAAAAAGAAAAACAGTGGAAAACTGCCATTGGTATCGCGACAAAAAATTTCGGAGAAAATTTCCAGAAAAAAATTTCCAATTTTTTCAACTTCAGAATATCAACCATCTGATAATTTTCACTTAATATTTTATGTAATCAGTAGTTGCAATTAATAATTTAGTTGATAACTTACATATGCTCCATTCTCTAACATGAATTTGACCAGTCTGCTACCCAAGGATGATTGGAAAAGATTTGAATAATTAATAAGTGATTGTCTTGCTACTGCACCATTATCAATCTGCAATTCAAAAATTGCTTTCTTTTAATACAATAAAATTGCAATACATTATTAACAAGTTTTTATCAACTTCAGAACTGAAACTGATAAATGTATTTTCAAACACTAAAAAGCCATCTGCTATATTAATTGGCTCCCAAATATTTTTAACTTTTTTTTTAAAACTTCGACTGTTGAATAGCTCCGAAATAATCACAATCAAAGATTTCGACTTACTTCATGAATGAGACTTTGTTGTGGCTCACAAATGGAATGCCGCTTCTTTAGAGAGGTCAATAATTCCATTAACTAAATATATTTCATTATCTTGAAATATTTTATTGAATTAATAGTCTAAATGATCATTTGTAATAGTTGCAGTGAATCTAACAGCAACTCATCATTTTAGCAAAAATTTCTTGAAGAGATCAAAGATTTATATTTGCTCTATCTCGCTGGAATTGTTTACTTTCTTTTCTTTTGTTATTACTGTCGGCTGCATCTTCATGTCTTGTCCACAACATAGCAAACTGGAAGCCCGATGAGTTGTGGACTGTATCTCCATGTCCTGTTCACTAAACGTTCTGCTACAAACCGGACCGGCAGTAATTGCGTCCAATTCATTTGCAAGAAAAATTAAGTGATAAATACTGAATCCACCAAATAATTCCATAATAATTTTCCAGGTGTACATCGTTCTATTTTATATATGTTTTAGAATGCTTACAAAAAGAATTATAGCGTTGATCTTTTCCTTCTGCAAAGTTTTATTGAGATACTCGATAGAAATACCACTATAAATTCAATAGAATTACAAGAATATCAATCTCACGCACACTTATTTATCATCGATTTATTGCAAATTTAAATACTATTGTTAACTCATTTAAATTGTGTTACTCTTACTTCTATTTACGTCGAAACTTATGTATAGAATAAATGAATTATGTTTGGTGTTCCACATGTTTTAATCATTTTCTTCCCAGTTATCATTTTTTGATGTAGCGACAACATCGTAAATTTTCTCATCAATGCATCAAAATCATAGAACAATTCTTTCAATGTAAGTTAAGGTTAAAAAAAGCATTGAAAAATTAGTAAATGAAAATGTCACAACACTTAAAAGAAAAACTCACAGTGCTTTATAAACGCTTCAAAGATTATTGATTTCAGTTTTTCATAAATACATTATTGATGTCAAAATTAAGCAGCTTAGTTTGAAAAAAAATGTATATGTATAAATAATCCGCTTTTTTGGGAAAATTTTTTGTTCAACATTTGATTAATTTTTATCCAAATGAATTTAAACGTTGTAATTTATATTAAATGCTACATAAAATGAAGAAAGACAGTAATCAAGTGTCTGTATAAATTCAGCTATTTCTATAAGTCACATTTCAGAGATTTGAATGGAAATATTGCTTGCTTTTTGTTAAATTATAAATGTGTAATTCAGTGACTTTTCAGACACACTGTTGTTATATAATCTCGATAAGTAGATTAAAAATAAGCTATGAATAACACTTTTTTTTTTCAAAGCAGAACTGAAATTCGAGTCGAATGTAAAGTTATCAATACTTATATTTAGCAAAATTTTTGTATCATTACCAGTATAAGAATTTATGCTTATAAAAGATTTATATAACACTTGATTAGCCTTAATAAATTTATAATTCAATACCGTACAGTGGCAAATTGTATTAACATAAATGTTTTGTGCTTTACAGGAAAATATCATTATTGCTTCATTTGCATACTTTGTTAGCAAAACTTTTCTTGTTAAAATAACAGTTGTACTGTAACAAATCAATTATATTTCTTTTTCTTTTATAATGTTGATGACATTTTGAAAAAAAAATTAAAAAACATGTGATGTAACGATGATTGCGGTAAATATGATTATCGCCTAAGTTATTGAAACAGTAGTAAAATTTATCTCCATTAATATACAACACCTTGTTTTTTCTTTTTTCTTTGAAAATTTGTACTTAATTAGCTTTTTTTTATTGATAAGTTTCGACTTTAATGTAAAAAAATTTAATCATCCTTTTTAAAGTAATAAACAAGCATTGCAGAAATTTTCTTGCAGATTTGTTACGATAATAGCAAATTTCTTTTATTAAAAAATGCCAAAAAAAAAATTCTGCTGAAAATTAAATTCAGAACATTGTTTTTTATTTTTGTTCTTTCTTTACTCTTTTTTTTTAAAGTAATAATATTTTGAACGTAAAAGTTTTCGATAACTTATTGACATATAAGCGGAATAACTAGACGGTTTATGTTAAAGCCTCGGAATCAGTTAACGCTCAGCAATACCAAAATTGCATAATTTAACTATTCGATTCAAATTGAGCTAAATATTCGATGGTTCTACACTGAGATGAATATTCTGCAAGTAAATTTTAAAATTTCAATATCACTTCTTGAGAGACAATAAACTGCCTATCCTTGAGATAATTACTCATCTTTATTTAGCTAGCCTAAGCCAGCCATAGAAAACAACCCCACTGCATTAATTCAACAACGAAAATGAATGAAAAGCATCGTTTGCTTCTTACAATGCATTCGTCTAAAGCTGCAAATAAAATTAAATTTATAATCCGGAACTCAGTTATTATTATTATTTGTTATGTTGATCGACGGTAAATTAGTATTATTAATCAATAAATGCACATTCTCTCTACTTTAAAAGTCAGCAAATGTGCATCTCACATTGTAATTCTCATACAAATATACATTCAAGCTGTCTGAAAAAATCAACGGAATATACATTTGCGCATTTCTAGCTCACCACAATGCACATTTGTTTGTTTTAAAAACCAAAAAAATTTGTGCTTGCATTTGACACAAAGTACGTTTATACTGTTCAGAAAGCGATAGATACAAATTTTCGCTATCTGAAAAGTCAACAATCATGTATTTATTCTTAATTACTATTATTTTTTTTTAATAAAAAAGTGCAAAATTTAAGTCATTTTAAACTGACACAATAATCAAACAAAATTTTTTGAAACATATGAAGTCAAAGCGATTATTTAAATAAATTTTCATTCTGAAGCTTTATTATTATTTTGATGTCAAAATTTTTATAAGATCTATCGCTTAAACTACAAAAGTGGTGTTAGTTGCAAAATTGAAGTCTTTTAAATCATTTATCATAAGAGAAATGGTTTAAAAACTATTACATACTAACGGAGAATTTTTAATCTAACGTTGACTAGCATTTCGATGTTAGCTTTTCCTTAAATTACTGAAAGAATGTTACCTGTCACATAATTAGAATATACATTTAGCAATAAGTCATCGTGAATCACTTGATTTAAAAAACTTTTTTTTAGAAGTTTGTAAAAATATCGCTAAAAGTCCAAGTTTCTTTCAGAGATACGGGAGATTCATATGAGATTACATGCTGTGGCACCTTGAGAGAGAATTCACTGATAATCCTTCAACTGATATCATTTATTCATAGCATAGAATGTCTGTTACGCAATGAAACAATGCAAAAAAGTCCCAAACATTTCAATTAAATCTTTTAGTGATGAACTTAAAAGACTGATAAACCTGAAATTTAGTTGTGAATGTGAAAACACAATTTCGAATTCAGTACAAATCTTTTTTTTTACTGATGTAGAAATTGGCAACAATAAGTGGTAAATAAAAATTCTAACCTAAAAAAAATCTAATCATATTTCTCTAGAAATATCTTTTAGCATGTATTTTCTCATGAAGAAAATAATAAGTGCATCATTGCACTATCTCTTGCCTTATGATTAAAAATGAACAAATTCAAAATGAAGCTTTATTGCTTAGTCATTGCAGGAATTAATAATGAATAATAAGAATTTTAAAAAAAAGAATACATTAAAACTAAAAAAAAAAAGGAAAAAAAAAACAAATTAGCAGACAGAAAGATATGTAAATGATATTGATAAGAGGAAAGAAATACATTAAAGGAATACATAATCAAGGTAAGATCTTTTATTCTTCAAATAATTCTTACGATTGTACAAATTGCAATCAATTAAAGTATCCCATTTGATAGTCCATGTACGATCACATGCCGCATAATATGGCCATACTAATTCATTAATTTCATTTAGGAACCTCCTAAAATTTGAAATTTAAACATAGTGCAGTTAAATCAAATTATGAAGTAAACTGTCAACATTAGCATTTTTAATTCTGAAATTTGATATAATCAAATATGTTTTTTAATTATGACATCAATGAATGAAATACAACGCTGAAAGCATCAAATAAATACCTTTATAGTTTCTGAGTTTTAAAAAATTTCCCATTTTCTAGAGTTATAAATCAGATAAACATTCAAAACTTTTAAGCTCAATTTGTTGTGTATTTTTCTTGTTTTTATTCTTTTCATGTTATTTTTGTAGAATATTTGAGTTTTTTTTATTTTTTAAATAGAAATTTAAAATTTGGTTTTTGAACTGGATTAGTACCTAAGTAATCAAAATTTAATAATTTGGGAGTAAGGTTTTGTTTAAACTGAAAAAATATTGACTGACTTTGGATTTTTCATTGGAACATGCGTATTGTAGAGCCCTCTTTTTCGGTAAATTTTGTTGGTACATGTATGGTTGTTTAGTTATTATTATTATTTTTTGTAATGCTATTATGTTTTATTATTAAAAACGTATATGAATATATATATTTGGCTTATAAATTTGTTATTGTGTGTTACTATTATTAATGATTTTTATTTATTTTTTTGAAATTAGAAAAGAAAGTAATTTTTTTATGCATATTAATGAATTTAATAAATAAAGTGGTGCAAACCATCCGTCAATGGCTTACAGGGACGTAAGTTGTGCATGAGAGACAAAGTTACCTGTCTCTATGTTTTAAAAAGTATTATTTTATGATAGAATGAAGAACTGTAAATATGCAAGCACAGTATCCATTAATGCTAAATGATAACAAATATTAGAGTAAAAAAAAAAAAAAAAAAAACTTAGAAGTTAACAAAAAAGTGTTCTGAATTACCAGTCTGTCTTATTCCCAGGTATGCAAGCATAACTTTGTGGTGATGCATCTTTGTGTTGCAACAACACATAATCATAATATAGTGTATGACTAGGATTCTGAAGATCACTTTCATAGTCCATTCTAACTTTTGTTGAAATAGCCTGGAAAAAAATAATCGTTTTTACGGCATTTCAAATCAATCTTTATTACAACGCTAGCTAATTTAGCATTTCTGAGAAAATGACACAATTAGATATAATTGGATAAGCTAATAAAATTTGAATTTATGAGTTCAAAAATCACAGGAATTACCAGAATTTGCTTTCCGGTTAATGTTATTCGTGTTTGCCAAATTCCAGCTTCTTGTCGATTAAGCCCAATTCTAAAAGCGCCATCTTCCCAAATGGGCTTACATGTGTATCTCAGTTCTGATGTACTCAAATGCTCTTTATGATTTGTTTCAATACTTGTTTGGATTGTTTTTTGAGATGATGAAATTGCTACGCAAACCTGAAATTTGCATATAAAACTGTAAATGGTTATGTACCTTGCCAGATATAAATCTGTTAAACATACATAAATCTTCTCCAACATATATTTTTTTCATAACAATCTAATAATTCAAACTGATGAAAATCTAATAATTTTGATAACAGTTAAAATATTATAGCTAAAAATATACATGGCTTATTTCGAATGTTATCTGATTGTTACCAAGTCCATGCACAGACGATAATAAGATAACATTTAGAACAAATAGTATTACTGTTAAAAGTAACGATGTTATAAACAACGTCCAGTGAAATCCTTGTGAAAAAATCCTGTGAAAACACAATTTATTTAATGCTCTTATTTATTTATTTTGAAGTAAAATATAAACAACTGAAATGCTTTTTTAGTTATCTGTTACCAATATTTAAATAATAGAACATTATCTATTTCATAATAACGTGTCAACATAAAATGTATACCTGACAAAAGAACTTGAGCATTTGTGACGATGATAAAAGCTTCTTGAACTGCAGATATAATGATAACAACATGGCGCACAACACGTCAATAGTGATAAGATATATATAATAAGAGTTAACAAGAATGTTAAAATAACCTTCAAAACAGGTATCAATAAGAATCGAAGCTGAAATAAAAATTTAATTTACATAAAAAAATTGGAATTTCTAAAATATGAAATGTTTCTAGAAATACAAAAATGTTAAAATGTATATTTCAGAAATGCTTCTAAAAATGAGTATTAGCACCTTGAATAAAGCATTCTGATATGGTTTATCAGTTTTTACAGGTATAGTTTGCTTTTCATAGCCATAAATCTTACGAACGCTATATCTGACTGGCCATAATTCATCGTAATCATTCAATCGTCCTCCATTCCTTAAAGTTATGAAATTTCAAATGCTCTCAAATTAGCACATTAAAATATTTTCCAAACAACTCATTCAAGTGATCTCAATTTATTTTCTTACTTATTCAGTAATGAAATTTGAAGAGAAGTACTTTTGACTCAAATTGAGTTTGAATTGCTCATAGATTGTTGGTTGTCGCGTAATTGTATTAGCACGTGATACAGGCTTCAGTGGGAATATCATTCGGCGATATGCAAAATACAACATTACCAAACGCCACAGAACACTTATGGTTGTCGTCGATGATGATATTATCAGGGGCCACTGAAGAATCTGTAAAATTTTTGCTTCAAATTCTAGAATTTAAGTGAAAATTATAATTAATGCCAGAATTTCATATTTCTCATATTACCACCCCTTACTATTACTTCTTTATAAGCGTTAATCGATAAAGATTCTCATCGATCAACTTCGCTTAGCTGAAACTTGCACTTCTAGAAAAGCAGTTGAAGGAGATGTAAACATTCTGCTTAAAGTTTCTTGAACTAAGAAAAAATTTTTATAACGATAGGGACAGGATTCACAAATACGTTGATGAAAAGGCATAGACCTGAGGTCCAACACATCGACAAGAAGTGATAAAAACAAAATTCATAATTGTTATAGGCATGTCATGAAGAATCATAAACAGAAATGCTATTCGAAAATTGTTAAAAGCCTGAAAAGTTTGCCTATATTAAAGAATTTGTCATGGAAATTTTTATTATAAAGTAGCAGCACTTCATGGCTTGATTTGATTTCCCTGGTAACTTTATTGTTATTTCATTTTTTAGTCGCAATCCTTAAATTTTCATATATCAGTAATGCAACACAACTATTAAAGTTACCAATTTACTTTATTACTACATATTTACTTAGTTATTTCGGCTAACATAACTGAAATGAATTTTTTTTAAAAGAAAATTTTAAAGAGAAAAAGATAACCTGGACCCATTGTACAAATGCTTCATAAATGATAGCAAAGCCACTTCGATATGGTGCTATGTCAAGACGATGAGCAAAGGCATTTTCAACACATAACACCTGAGCTTGCAGAAAAGATGGAAGAAAAATGATAAAGTTTAATAGGCTATAAATTAAGGATATAAAGAAAAATCTTTGGGAAATGCGAGATGGAAATAGACATAAAAATTGTTAAAGAATATAAATGTAAAATAATTTTGAAAAAAATTAAATTAAATTTGAATGAAACATTTTTTTCGACTTCTAAATATTATTTCTGTTAATATCTTTATTCACAATTAACTCTAATTTAATGCTTTGAACTGATAACAATAAACGATTTTTATCAGATTATTCGGTGCTTTTTCTATAAATTCTAGAACAAATTTATCGTAAAGCTTTTCATTTCGAGAATTTCCATTCACTGTGTGAAACTTTATTTCTGAGTCATTATTATTGAGCTTTAACAATGCAGAATTCTATGTAGTCAGGTGAATACCGAAGGAGTAAATAAATTCAGAATCCGTTACAAAACTCAACAAAAAAAATTATTCAAAGCAAGCAAAAATAACAGGCGCAAAAGGCTAGCTAATTAAGTAACCAGAAAATTATAGTTTGAATGTGATAGTTTATGCATAGCTAAATTAAAACTTGGCTAGAAATTGACTATCTGAGTCATTTTTCTATGAAATGAAATTTTGCAAAAGAACCAATAAGATGAGGTTGCATCCTTTTTTCAACTTATAATATTTAAAATTTTAAAAAGATCGATCGTAGTAATGAAATAGGCGTAATAATAGAAAGGGCACTTCAACAATGGGAATTCTTCGTATTTATTTTCTGCTTACTTTTATTGTCAATATATTGAAATTTTTTCATTTCTCAAGTTAATATCTTCCTTTCTTTAATAATTTTTTAAAATATTTTCTAATTAATAATGATTTAATGTTTGTTGTTGACATTAATACTTTCGTAATTAATTACTAACTTTAAAAAAAAGGAAAACTACTCGAAATAAATTTTGTTAATTACTTTGTTTTCATCATTTTCACTATTGTTATCCATTACTATTATTATTGTTATTATCATTATTATTACTATATTACTATTATTGTTGTTATTATTGCTACTATTATTATTACTATTATTATTGTTATGACTATGACCACTACGATTATTGCTAATACTATTGCTACTGTTAATAATATGATTATTATCATTGCTATTACCATTATTACTATTATTATTATTATTATTATTATTATTATTATTATTATTATTATTATTATTATTATTATTATTATTATTATTACTATTATTATCATTACATTTATTAAATGAAATTGACCAACCAATAGAAGTGATGTTAGCATAGAGCCAAAAACTGTTGTGGAAACAAGTCCTACAGCAAGCCAAGTCTTCAGTGGAAATGATGTGACATAACCGCGAAGGGTGAAATAAACGAAGAGCCAATCGCATAGATCGGTAATCGAATAGATGATAAAACTGATCGCATATAATGCATGCATCGTACGACCTAATATAACTTTTTTTTTTTTTCATTTCATTTTTAAAGTTATGTTTGCAAAAAATTATTTTCAATAAAATTAATGCTATTATTTAATTTATTTTAATTGATTTGGTGATAATAATAGCAATGGTTATTATTATTATTTGGATTAATTGTTCATATACAACATCTTTCGACAAAAGGTATCAACTTTTCATTTTTTGTTTTCTTTTCCAATTTTTTATTATTGTTTTCAGTGGATTTAATAAATTGGTTGCTCTATAATTAGTTGATTGGTTAGACCAATTATTATTTTTTTGGCTGCTCTAACATCTAAATTGATCTAATTATTTCATAATTCTTTTCGCATATATCATTTCTGATGATCTGCTTTGTTAAGAATGCAGAAGTTATAGGGCTTTGAATCTTCGATTGTTTTTGATCTGTAACAATTACTTCAGTCTTATTTAATTAAAAATTCACATTCTGCGCATTTTTCTGTTGTCTTATGAATCTTAAAACCTACAATTAACAGCAGCAAATATTTCCACAAAATAAAAGAAGAAATCAAAGACTGAACGGCTGTAATTTTTTTTCTTAGAATCATTATAATAAAATAATGATAATCCTATTCGTCTTAGGAAGAAAGAAAAATCCACGATTTTCTCTTTTTAATTCTCTTTGATCTTTTGTTTGAATATAGCAATTTTAAATTTATAGTTTCCATTTTTTTAAGGAACTTTTTGAAGCGAAACAAAAATTTGTTTTAATTGCTCATAAAATATGCAAATATTAAATAAAAGAAAGAAGAAATAGCAAGGAATTTTGTAATAGTAACATAATCAAAGACTGTAATAAACAAATAATAAAAATAAAAACGACAAACTTTTTATTTGACGTGACATCGCTTAAATTTTGAAAAGGCGATAGTAAATGAATGGTTGATATTTCAGCTGATTAGAAAAACTTATTCAGCTTCCTCCACAGCTTTGGAAAAGATTTAAAAATTTTCGAATTTAACGCACTTAATGAATACTTTGTTTCCCAGTCGTCACTCAACTGTCAAAGCAAAAAGAAAAAGCAAATGAAAAGGCGGAGACATATGGAACAAAGATGAATAAATTTTAATTTATGTCCGTGAAAAATTGGAAAGGAAGAAGAGAAATCGAGCAGTAAATTAATGCAAATTTAATATTTAGAACTAATTCATCTAGCAACTTTGGTTCATCATTTTGCTATGTTTATTTTGAATACAAAATTAATTTGCACCAATAAATATATTTTAAATTAAAATTTGAATCCCAAAAACATTTTCGTTAAGCCTAAAAATCAAACAACGTTATGATTTAAAAATTTTAATTTTATAAATTATTGAATGGCAAATAGTAAAAGTTGTGTTAGCTTTTCGCTTCAAACATTTCTTTTGTTCCACACAAAAACCCAATATGCATTATTCATACATATGGCTTTGTTTTTAAATAAAACACTACGTCAAACTTTACACGACCTCCATGACAAGGTCTGCCAAATATCTGAGCATTATTAATTTCAGCATAGTTCCAAATTTCTTCCCATTATTTTTTTTTTTTTAAATTTAAAAATTACAATGTTACAGTTATCCTTGCTTTTTTTCATTCCTTCAAATTATAATTAATAATTAAGACTATAAGTGACTTATTTCATTGTTGAAATATTTTAACTGTCGAAGTTTCTGAAGAAATTTAATCATTTGTTAAAAATGAAATAAGAATGGTGATAAAGTTAACAAATGGTAATATTGAATTTGCATGTATCATTTATTTATTGATCCTTTCTCGATTCATTGGAAAAGAAAATCATTTTAAAAGATGTTTTACCATTTTATACTTGCATCATTAGCACAAAACTGAGTTTTGATGGCAACTTTCAGTTTACAGGGCTTAAAATCTGATGTGAAAAAGCATCTATAAGATAACAAAAATAAAATATAAAAATTTGTGATGGACATGAAGTAAAATTTCTTAAGAAGAAAAATCAAATTTTTTAAAAAAGAAAAAAAAAACTGCAACGACTTTATGAAAGTCAGCATTTTATCATCCATTTTTATTTTTGCTTACCTTTTGATTACAATATTTTACATGTAATCTGACTTAATTCAGAAATGCATTCATTTGTTACTTATATTTTAAAAATCTGATCTATTTATTATCTTTAAATTTTGGATAAATTTTTATCAGGTCAGAAATATTACTCGGCCAGCAGTAGTAATTAAGTGACATTGTCTCGAGACATATATGAAAAGGGATTTTCAGATGAATCATCGAACATTTTTCGATGGTTTCATTTTGATTAAAATAATTAATTGGAAATACTTCTCATGTATTTAAAAAAAATAATTAATTGTTTACATGCTTTTCTTACTATCCATGCAAATATATTTAAACACAGTAACCATTTAATAGTGGAAGATTTGGAGTGTGAAGAACGAAGCCTGGAGTGTACAAAACGTTCAGTAACATCAGAATATTGCCGGAACTTGGACTTGGCAGAGATGTTGGATTAATCGCTTCTGACGACATTGCGTCTGATATTGGCAATAACATGTCACAAGTAGATCTACAATTATCAATATTACGATTACTATCATTATTGTGATTATTATACATTTATCATTATTACGATCAATTATTTATCAATTAGTAATTGATATAAAGAAATGTAGATTTTCATAAATTATGAATATTTTTTTCAGTGAATTTTAATGAATTATATGCAAACTAATTAAAAATCGATCCCAAAAAAGAATCTAATAGTTGATATATATTTTTAATTATCTCATTTTTTTTTTAATGAAATGGTTAAATTGCTAATTGAGATGCTAACAAACAAATGATACTATATGTGATCAAATCCTAGGAAAAAAAATCAGCAGGACTTGTCATGACGACATTTCATAAATAAGTCAAAGTAATGTTTCAATGAATTTGAACGAGTTTCAACGGTCAGTGAGTGAATGAATGAAGCATAGTGACCATTGGCAGGAAGCAAATCTAACATATTTTCAGTTCTGGAATGAACCATTTTATAAATGTTATACAAATGCCGTAAACAAGCGACATTTGTTGAAATGCTAAAAGCATAAAAGATAGTTAATATAGGAATCAGTTGGACAATTAATGAAGTATTCATGTCCTTTGTGGGTCCCAACTCTGTGATCGATATTTTTTGGAAGCATCTGTTTTGTTACATCATCTCTTTACTTCCTTCTTTCTTTATTTTCATTCATACTTATGAAATTATCCTTTTTCCAATACTTTATAGTTTCATAATAATGACTTCATACTAATTTAATAATGAAAAGCACAAACTTACTACTAATTTAATAATGGGAAGCTTTAACTCAATACTAATTTAATAATGAAACATTTGTTGTATAGTATACACTATTAAAATTTTGTGCATTTTTTTCCCTTTTTTGAGATTGTTTTTCTAATTTCAACAATTTTTAGAATAAAGCATAAGAAAAAAAAATTCAAGCTTATCTGTTTTAAAATATACCAAACATTGTTGTCTTTTTTTATATATTGCAAATAATGTGATGTAATTTGATATGAAATTTTATAAAATGAATTAAAAAATCGTCTTTTAATAATGTATGTACAATGAATAGTATAATTATTTTCAAAAGAAAGCTGTTAAATTAAAATTTTTGTTACAATTTTCGATGGAAGAATCTGGAGGTTTACTAGCAGAAAGTACCATCTGAAATTCTTAATCGTTATCAAAGTTATACCTATCATTATAATTATAATTTACCAATCACATTTCTTCATTTCATTTCATAATATTAGTAAAAATTTGGATTACTGATAAATAAAATTCAACGGTTGTTAAGCTCCCTGAAATTATATAACCCTAAAAATTTAGTGATAATTACATCATTTTATTGTTGAAAGATTTCACTGATATATTCCGAATTAAAATCACTCTGTCATCGAATCCTAGTGCATTGTTAGGGCATAAATTTTGCATAAATTAGTTTTATATCGGAGAAAAAACCGCAATTGGATCTAAAGATGGGTAGCTTCTACAAATTAATTTACCCGTCTTAAAGCAGCTTGGCCAAATCCCGGCTAAAAGATTATTTATAATCAGTTTTTCTTGCTGAGTTGTGAGAAACTACTGTTAACTTGGAATAAGTCTTGTCGATGTGATTGTGTGTGCTATGATATTTATGAGTAAATAATTTTATAGATGAAAATGCAAAACGAAATAATATATAACTGCGAAACAAATTAAGCTTTTTATTTCCTTCCTAAACAGTAAAACAGGTATGCCACACTGTTTTTGTCATTTTTCAAAGATTTTCCATGTAGCATTTATTACATTATATGTATTATATGCCCAATTCTACAATTTAATTAAACAAAACACAGTTTAAAACTTGACTGTGCATCTCTCATCACGTCAAGAGAACTGAAAATATCATTGCTCATCTCTCACCACACCACACATACACAGATTAAAGAACGAAATCTTCAAAACGCGTTCGCTCTTTACCAATCAACGATGTACAAAGATTTCCCATAGGAAAGCTGATGTTATGAGAAAGCTGAAAAAAAATCAGCAAAAGCCATCATTGTGACTTCTTAAAAGAAAGACGAATCACATGATCGTACGTATGCGTGATGTAAATTTTCTTTTTTTTTTCCCCTTTGTTACGTATAGGAATTGCATGTCATAATTAATTTCCTAATTATAATTATATTAATTATGTCACTATATGAATTCAGTTTTTCAAAATGGGAGAAATTTGCAGGAAAAAAGCTCAGGTAAAAAAAAATACTTAAGTTAGTCTCAGATAAGAAAAAAAAAACTTAAATTAATCTAGGCTTAGTGAGAAAAGGCATTGTTGTTGACAGACAAATTAACAAAATAAGAAAATGGCACACATTGAATTTTTTAAAAGATGGACTTAGAAATAAAGTATAATTTTTCAAGCAAAATGTCTATCAAAGCAGAAGAAAAAAAATGTATCTG